TTAATTAATTTATATACTAATTTTGCTACAAGTAAAAGTTAACATCAAGATCCACTTATTATATTTTCAATTTATTATCCAATATAATTTTATTTCATATATATATATATATATATATATATATATATATATATAAGGGTTGGTTAAAATACTAACCAAAATTTTTGTGTTAACTTTGTTAGCCAAACTCAATCAATCATATTCCATCTTTTCTTAGGTTCACATATAACTCATATTAATGACAAGAGTAATTAAGTAATTTGTCATTATGTAACTCTCAAATCATTAATTGGGAGTTACAAATCTAAAAATCTCAATAATTGATGATTATGTAATATTGATATTTTTTATACGTATTCATGTTTTATAATTTTGATTTATTCTATCCATAATGATATTGATTTTGTAATTGTTAAAGAATTTCCGATTGTAAAGATTTCGATATCATTCGAGTAATATGGATAAACCTATTGGAAAACATATCGACAACAATGAGAATGAAAAGGTTAAAATCGTCTACGACTACAATTGGAATTCGAATTCATATGTAATTGTTAAAGAATTGTTCACAAGTGTTTGTATTATGTTCATATGTACACTAGCTGCATATCTCAAAATTGGCTTGCTCCTGAATGTGTTCATAATGAATGAATTATTGTTCATAAACTGTTCATATTGTGTTCATATGTACACTAACTGCATATCTCAACATTGACTTGCTCCTGAATGTGTTCATAATGAAGGAACTATTGTTCACAAACTGTTCATATTGTGTTCATACCTGTTTTTATTTATTTATTTACTTTCGTGTAACAATTATTCTTATTATATTCATATTGTGTTCATAAATGCTATATAATCCAAGTTCATTTATATATCAATTTTTGTTCGTATTTGACACAATGGTTCATATATATATATGTGTGTGTGTGTGTGTGTGTATGTGTGTGTTCATATGGTTTTTACATTAACAAAAATAAATTAATAAAAATAATGAGATTTTTTGATTTTGTAACTCCCACTTAATGATATGGGAGTTACATAAAAAATAAAATTACTTAAATACCTTTTTCCCCTTTGTTCACATATGTTTTTGAAATTTGAAATTTAAAAATTTAATTTTTTATCATGATTAATCACAACTCTTTATTGTAAGAATCAATGGCCAAGATTGATTAACAAAGTTAACACAAAAATCTTCGTTAGTATTTGAACCAAGCTCTATCTCTATATATATAGGAAAGAGTTCAAATGAAAACATCTTCATTTTACAAGAACACAAGAACACCTTTTTACTATAGACAATCACATGTGATACTATTATTCCATCATAAATAATACACATGTGATACTATTATTCCATCATAAATAATACACATGTGATACTATTATTCCATCATAAATAATTCACATGTGATACTAAATCAGAGACGCAGACGATTTTTTGATGCGATCTTGGTTGAGGGCCAAGTAGCCCTTACACCACTAAGCCCCCTCACAAGTACTATCACATGTGATAAGAGTGTTGTTGATATGATAGATACATGTGATGCTAAATCATAGACGCAGACAACCTTTGACACGGCCTAAGTCGTACAATACGTCGTCCACACATCACATGGTCTCCTCACGTATATTATCACATGTAATAAGGGTGTTCTCACGTTCGCATAAAATAAAGATGTTCTAGTTTGAACCTTCATATATAGGGTTGGGTTCACGTGAAACCAATGGTTTTTCGTGAGACCGGTAAGACCAATTTATGTTCATTGATCAACTTGATAAGCTAATGATCTAATGGTCTAAAATTCACGGTTGCAATTTTGTAATTATTGAGAAGTCTCGTGGCGTTTATGAATGTTCAAATCTAACGATTGTAGATCTAATCCAAGGGTTGAAAATTGGTCTTACGGGTCTCACGAAAAACCATTGGTCTCACATGATCCTAAGTCTTCATATATATATATATATATATATATAATTATTAACTTTTTAAATTTGAAACTATTTAAACAACAAAATAATTTTTTAATTCTATTTAGCTTTTGATTATATGAAATAGACCCAAACCAAAGCGACCGATAGAAAAGAAGAGAGAGATGAGAATGATGGAGGAAGGAAAGCGTGGCTGTAAAGCAATTGGAAGAGGAGGGTATATATATGATTATGGGACCCATACATTCTTTTTATGGCATCTTTCACCTCAATTACACAAACAAACTACCCCCCATCATCCACCGCCCTACCCCCCTCCAACTATGCAAATTTATAAACTATTTTATTTTTATTAAATAAATCAAATATCTTGAATAATTGTATCACATAAAGAGTTAACGTGAGAAGTGTAAGAATGGATTTGGACTTTAATCACATTAAATCTCAAACTCACTCATGAATCACGCTTGATACGAAAATTTGATTCGTTACATCTCATCCTAACATACATCCACGGGTAAAGATCCATTTTTACGCTTCTCATCTTAACTCTCTTTCTCACCGAAACTCAACCCATCTTCTTTTAACTATTAATTCTAAGAATATTACAACGTTGGATTTGGTTTCAGTGAGAAGCGTAAGAAGAGATATTTATCCTTGGATCAATTCTACTTAAACGTCAATACTAATGAAATGCATCGAGATCTAACGGATCAATTCCCTTGTAAAAGTGCAATTCATTATTGAACACGAGACTAAAAGTGATCAAGGGTTTAAATTTCTTGTTTACGCTTCTCAACATAACTTTCCTTGATCATTTGCCATACGACGTAATTATTGTTAACATATTCGTGTTTTTGGAAAAGGGTTTTGATTTTATTGTTAAGTAAATGTTAAATTTATAGTTCGATGGTGAATTTGATGATGAGGGTAGATCTCCTTATAGTTTAAGCAAATAAGATCAATAGTACAAGGTAAAGTAATTGCACATGATCCATGTTATTAGTAATGCATACCATAATGAGTCCCACAATGAGCTTGATGTTGCTAAGCAAAAGGGTCCTACTCCTTACTCATCAAAAGCCTGCAATAAACAATACCATCAATTTAATAACTGGAATTATAAACATTCAAAAAAGCCAAATCTAAAATCAAACGTAAACTATACCTATTTAAAAGAACATGAAAACGGGCAAATCACGTGCAGAATCACCTGTGATTTTACATTAATGGTCAAAAAAAGTGTCCAGACGACTTGTAGGACGGGTAAGGTCGCCTGAATCACATGTGATTTTGTATGTGATGTTAGTGTAAAGTCACATGTGATTCGCCCATTTTCGTGTTCTTTCAAATAGGTACCGTTCCCGTTTGATCCTCCCTCCCTCTCCATATAATCTGATTTTCATTTGAATTTGATCGGTTTGTTGTATTATTATCTAATTGATGTATTTAATACTTAAAAAAAGAAATGACAGGAGGTTGGAGAGGTGGGGTGGCAGCTGCTCCTTTTGCTTTTGAGTTACCATCACTACCACCACCACCAATACCCCTCCTATGCTTCCCATTTGCTTTGTAACATTCTCTTTCACATTCTTTTCCAACTTTTTTTAATTTCTACAATCTACCAACCTATCATTCCTTAAAACTCTCTCTCTCTCCCTCTGCAATTCGTTTCTGGTGGTATTCACTCTGTGTTCAATGATCCTATAGACTTGGTGACATGGTAAAGCTTTCTGTTGATCATGGAGTTCATGCTTTGTTTGATGTAATGAAACTATCATATGATCAAATACTGTAATGTTACCTTTTTGTGTTGTCTGATGATTCCAGGGAACGCCAGTAAACATCATCGTTGGATCGCACGTTTGGGCAGAGGATCCTGAAGTTGCATGGATCGATGGAGAGGTGATCGATATCAAGGGCAACAATGTCACCATAGTTACTGCAAATCAGAAAACTGTAAGATACATACATAATAGCCATTGCTCGAGTATTAGTACTTTCAACATCTAATGAGTTCATAAACTCTTCATTGGATCCTGCATATTGTACAGTAACTCACCCTATATGATTAAGGTAGCTACACCAAACATGATGCCAATTTGATATAAGCTTTCCAATAAAGATGATACAAATGGAGACTTATGCATGATTAGATGTCACATGTCTAAGCCATTTACTTTGAAGCATCATTTTTTTTAGTAAATGGGTGTCCGGAATAGCTTGCACGTTTAATCCCATGGGACCCTGAAGTTATTAATCTGCAAACCCTCCAGTGGCTCTGTGAGAACTTGAACTAAGGAGCAAACCCAAGATCTTATCGGTTGAATCAACAATTACATCTCAGCTTTTCGTCGCATCATATTAAGAAAGATGAAAATGCTGGAATGTTAAATGGCCTGAAACAGTAGAAACCTAAAACTCTTATGGCAACATAGCATTTCATATTTCTCACCAAGTCAATTCTAGTATATACTTTAGCTGGATGCTTCCATAGCCACGAGCAGCTATGGATCATTTTTCAAAACCCTAATTTACAGTTGTTGGATAAGCCAACCAACGGCCAATAGTGTTTCACCATTGTCCAATATGTAAATCTTTGGATGTCCTATAACACATTAGACCATTTCTTTACAACCAAATCATGGCCGTTAAGCCTAGTGAGTCTCATTAAGCCCATTAAGCTGCTAACAAACAAGCCCTAATATAAGGAATATTTGACATTTTATAAATGAATAAAACCATCCATAATTGTGTAAATAATGAATACAACTAAACAGAGACTGTTCCATATTTCAGATAAAGGCAGATATCTCAAATATCTATCCGAAAGATACAGAAGCACCAGCAGCTGGAGTTGATGACATGACTAAGTTAGCCTACCTTCATGAGCCAGGAGTGCTTTACAACCTTGCTGCTCGGTTTTCCCTCAACGAAATATATGTAAGTTGTAAAACTGAAAATCACCAAACCTCTCTTCAGTTAAAATTTTACACTCAGATTTTTATCACTAGCAAAAATACAACGATGAAAAATGACATAAGTATTAATTATGATATGAGCAGACTTACACGGGGAACATTCTAATAGCAGTAAACCCTTTCCGGAGATTACCACATTTGTATGATGTCCACATGATGGAGCAGTATAAAGGGGCACCTTTCGGGGAGTTAAGCCCACATCTTTTTGCCATTGCAGATGACTGCTACAGGTACTATGTTGCACTGCACTACATTTCAATTTGCATGACAACAAATATTTGAAAAAACCAAGTGTGACTTTTCGACAATTTTGTGATATCAGGGCAATGATTAACGAACATGGAAGTCAATCCATCTTGGTGAGTGGAGAGAGTGGAGCAGGTAAAACAGAGACAACAAAAATGTTGATGAGATACCTTGCTTTCATGGGAGGCAGATCAGGTACCGAAGGAAGAACAGTTGAACAACAAGTTCTGGAGGTGAGTAACGAGTAATTAATTATTTCAAACTTGATAGGTGCTATTTAGTTTATGAATAATTCAAATGATAACATTACTTATCAGTCTAACCCAGTTCTGGAAGCCTTTGGGAATGCCAAAACCGTGAAGAACAACAATTCCAGGTGAAAAGTCATAATAATACCTTCAAACCTATCATTTTAGTAAAGCTGGTTTACAGGAAAGTTCACATGACTAAGTGTTGGTACCAGTCGTTTTGGTAAATTCGTAGAGATTCAATTTGATAAGCAAGGAAAGATTTCCGGGGCTGCAGTTCGGACTTACCTGCTTGAAAGATCACGCGTTTGCCAAGTCTCTGACCCAGAGAGGAACTACCATTGTTTTTACATGCTCTGTGCAGCACCCCCTGAGGTAATATGGATTATTGCAATATTTTCGTCAATTTATATGTAAGGATCTTCACACAATAATGATTATTTTCAGGATGCCAAGAAGTTCAAATTAGGAGACCCAAGAACGTTCCACTATTTGAACCAAACTAATTGCTATGAAGTAGCAAACATTGATGATGGAAGAGAGTATTTGGAAACTCGAAATGCTATGGATGTTGTGGGAATCAACCAGGAGGAGCAGGTAAAACACATACTTGACTCAAATCAGAAGATTTAGATAACCAAATTCTAAAAGAGGAACTTCTGTAGGATGCAATATTCCGTGTCGTAGCTGCAATTCTTCATCTTGGAAATGTTGAGTTCATCAAGGGAAAGGAATTTGATTCTTCTCAAATTAAAGATGACAAGTCACTCTACCATCTTCATACAGCAGCAGAGCTACTCATGTCTGACCCTGATCATCTCAGCCTGTGATGATGCATTCTGTTAGTTCTTCATCATGCATATGAACACATAATCTCATTTTAGCATGCTTTTTTTCAGGTGTGATGAGAAAGCACTTCAACAATCATTATGTGAGCGTGTTATTGTAACTCCTGATGGGAACATCACAAAACCGCTAGATCCAGCATCAGCTGCCTTGAGTCGTGATGCCCTGGCAAAAACAGTTTACTCCAGACTTTTTGACTGGTAACAAGATCGAAACTCAAACTATAATTATCGTGTCCAACACCAAGCTTTATTTATGTGGTTCTAAACATGAGTACTTAAGTCCCATTAGATCCATTACACATGTTTGCTAAGTAAAAATAAATAATCGGTCTATGAGGTGTCATATATGCACATGTAAGTACCATCAGTTGTATATATAATAACATTTTGGAATTTACAATTGCATGCCTTTGAACTCTGTGAACTTGTTAATTCGCATTCCTTTCAAATCTTAGGCTACTAATCTTTCAATTTTGGCTGATTCAGCCAAAAACGAACATTCTATATTGTGGATGCTAAAAGTTAGCTTTAATACTCAATTCATGAACAATGACAGGATTGTAGACAAAATAAACAATTCAATTGGTCAGGATCCTACTGCAAAAAGCATAATTGGAGTCCTTGATATCTATGGCTTTGAAAGCTTTAAAATCAACAGGTATATAATGATAGTTTCAGTGACTTTCAGTATTAAACAATTTCAACATCTAGAATGTCACCTTACAAATTTCCTTCATATGATAGTTTTGAGCAGTTATGCATTAACCTTACTAATGAAAAGCTGCAACAGCATTTTAATCAGGTAACGTTGCAAACTGCACATAGTTTTATTGAAATTTCTTCATTTTCATGAATATCAACTAAACATTTGTAGTATACACCGGAATATCAATTACAAGAATAAATTAGGATGGCATATTCACAGCATGTATTCAAGATGGAGCAAGAAGAATACACGAAGGAGGAAATCAACTGGAGCTACGTAGAATTTGTAGACAACCAAGATGTTTTAGATCTAATTGAAAAGGTATGGACCTCATAGTAATTATACTGAAGCTTCACATGGCTTACACCAAAGTATCCGAGAGGATAATGCTTTTTAATTGTACTTAATGCAGAAACCTGGGGGTATCATTGCTCTTCTTGATGAAGCATGGTATGTAATTGTCCTACTCAATGACACATCATGAAGGCGGTTAGGCATAGAAAATCGATAACTTGATAGTCAATTTATTAGTGAGGCAAAACAAAAAGTGTTCCTTAGAACACTTGAAAAGGAAAAACTAGACAACGGAATGAATGCATCAACATACAACTTTATCTATTTTCTGCAGCATGTTTCCCAAGTCAACACATGAGACATTTGCTCAGAAGATGTACCAGACATATAACTCACACAAAAGGTTTAGCAAGCCAAAACTTTCAAGAACAAACTTCACAATCAACCATTATGCAGGAGATGTAAGGCAGATTACTATGTCCCATTGATCATTTATCATGCACATAATTTTGTTTTTCTCACTGGCAAGATTTCCATAATATAGGTTACTTACCAAGCTGATCACTTCCTGGACAAGAACAAGGATTATGTCGTAGCAGAACATCAAGCTCTATTAAATGACTCAAGTTGCACTTTTGTAGCAAATCTCTTCCCACCATTAGAAGAAACATCTAAGCAATCCAAGTTCTCTTCCATTGGAACTCGGTTCAAGGTAAGCCTGCAAAATGGGGGGGAATTTAATTCAGTTGCTAAGGCCCTGAACTTTTATCCTTCATTGGGCTCCAAAATTGCAGCAACAACTACAATCTCTAATGGAAACCCTGAGCACAACAGAGCCACATTACATCAGATGTGTGAAGCCTAATACAGTTTTGAAGCCAGGAATATTTGAAAATGACAATGTTTTGAATCAACTAAGATGTGGAGTAAGTTACGATTCTTCAACTTGATAGACAACACTAGCATAATAATCTATTTGATTCCATTGAGGTTGTATTGTGGTAGGGTGTACTAGAAGCAATTAGGATAAGCTGTGCTGGGTATCCAACAAAAAGAACTTTTGACGAATTCCTGGAACGGTTCGGAATGTTGGCTCCAGATGTTCTAGATGGGTAAACATGTTTTCTGTTTAATATCCTATGATGCAATAAATAAGGAGAAGAATACTTGATCATGAAATGAAACAGAATTAAGTATCATGTTCACAAAAACATTAATGAACGATTAACAAACATGCCTAAGCTCCTTGCTATGGTATACAGATGTTATATTCATGTCTCCACCTCTGCATAGTGGTTTTGAACAGCGCCAATACCATATCCTTTTATATTTCATTGTAACTTCTTACGCTTTATGTATGCAGGTCTGATGAGAAGTCAGCATGTGTAGCAATTTGTGACAGATTTGGATTAAAGGGGTATCAGGTAAAGCTGAAAATCATCTGTTATTCCTCTCGTCTGGTACAAAAACTTTACTTTCTTGGCAGACCTGGTAAAAAGAATTTAAGCATTCCAGCTAACTTATCAACATTTCAGATAGGGAAAAGCAAGGTTTTCCTTAGGGCCGGACAGATGGCTGAATTAGATGCACGAAGAACAGAAGTTCTAGCAACAGCAGCAAGAAGAATTCAGAGGCAAATCCGAACATATCTCACACGTAAAGAATTTATTATCCTTAGAAGGGCCACAATCAATATGCAAAAGCACTGGAGAGGTAACTTATTTCCTCTGAAAAGTGTACAAACTAAGCTAGTGTTAACCCATTTTATTCACTGTGAAGAACAACGTTTTCTAGAAAGCATGTATTATTCAATAAATTAACCATATAAACGGAGTTCGTAGTGGGGCAAGGGACAGTACATTAATAACATAATAGAAACCCTATTATCATTAGTATCTTTAGAGATATCTTATGATTAATATAGCTCAAGAATTTAGCAAGCAGCCCTATCCTTGAAGCACTCCTAGGGTAGTAGCATATATGTTACTCATGAGCAACTTGCTGCATATGGGGCCAAGTTGTGAATCCCAAAGTCTTTTTGTCAAGATTTCAGGAAGTTGATCTCCTGAGAGGACCCAAACTAATTTAATGATAGATTCATGGGGGGCATGACTGGTGTCGACCACTATCTCAACAACAAAGTGACCATCAACCCCAATTTGGTTCATACTTCTATGAAAAATCTAGTTTCTGGATATGTGAGAGACAGTAGCTTTGTCACTGCATATTTCCATCAACCTACCTAACGGGATCACCTAACTCGTGTGCTAGACGTCACCACTCAAGTTTATGCAGCAAGGTTTGTGATTCACGGAATTGGGCTTGATGGCTTGTATCTAGAGTCGGTGGGGGGGGGGGAATGAAAATTCATTCCCTGTCATTTTTATTTTCATTCCTCAGCTTGAACCAAACAACCCCTAAATCAAATTGACATCTTATCTTTTGAATTCCCTATGCCAACTTACAAGCTTGGTTGCCAAGTTCTCTTCCTGCAGTTTCCAGTGGAAAGCAAGCTTATCTAATAACAATAGTAACATCCTGATTCATGGCATTATTATATGCCAAGTTTATAAGCATCCAGAAGTATAAAATGACAACTTCTCTTTTGCCACCAAACAGCAAGACTTGCACGCAAACTGTATGACTACTTAAGGAAGGAAGCTGCATCCATCCGCATACAAAAGCATACTCGTGGAGGTGCAGCAAGAATATCATACAAGCTTTTACAGGGAGCTGCAATATCTATTCAAACTGGGTTTAGAGCAATGGCTGCACGGGATGAGTACAGACGCAGAAGAAGGAACAAGGCTGCAACTATAGTTCAGGTACGATAAATCTGTTGTGCTTTTGAAAATTGTGACTTTATTTCTTATAGATGCAAACATTAGTGGCTATTAAAGAATTTTGCAATCTGAAATCATTTCCCTACAAACCATTGTACAGGACAACTTTTAGATTGTAGCTCTTAAAGAAAATGTACATGGAAGAACTAAGAATTTCAGATATTGTTCTAAAATCATTTGACTAACTAAACAATCTATCCAAAAACCTGAAGGTTCCTGTCCTACTCACTATAACAGGCAAGCGACTTAACAACATGAGGATATACTTACATTCAGTCCAGTGACTCCAGTCTAAGGACCACATGTGAATTTTATATTACTATTGGTTCCTTGCTTTGCAGACTCAATGGCGGAGATTCTATGCTCTTTCTGCATATAAGCATCAGAAGAAAGCAAGTCTTACACTTCAATGTCTGTGGAGATCAAAGGTAGCAAGGAAGGAATTAAGAATGCTGAAGATGGTGAGTGCATCTTATCTTTAAGAGCAAAGTATTATCTACTCAGAATCAACCCAACTGCTCTGAGTTAGAATACATACATTGAGAACTTATAATTTCTTATTGCAGGCTGCGCGAGATGCTGGGGCCCTTAGAGAAGCCAAGGACAAGCTGGAGAAGCGTGTTGAAGAGCTAACATGGAGATTAGATTTTGAAAAACATTTGAGGGTACATGTTTTATATGTCCAATGGAGAATAATGTGATAATCAGCAACATCCAGCGTAACTTAATGATTAGATCAATGGCTGTGGCAACCATAGCCAAGTTGACTGTAGTTTGGCACAAAAACGATGTTTTGTTAGAATAGACACCATAATTCACTTCGTTTTCTTTTTCACACATGGATATCCTTCTCTCTCACACAACAGACAAGACCAGTTTCGCCACTGTCATAATTTCTCCTTAGATTAATACATCTGCATGGTTTAGTTCAGACAAAACTTCGTGAAAGAATATAATGGTATCAATTGCATGGTTAGCCAAGTAAATCAATCATTTCAATTGGCATTTGGTTATCTGGGAAAGCCACTGAATCTGCAGCTCAAAATTAAGATTAAAAATATATGTCGTACTCCTTATAGCGGTTCTCAATGTGTGATTAATATATGTGAGCAGCGTGGAGGTTGGGAACGTAAAACTGAATAACAGACGGATTTTATATGATTTCTAGTAGATATAAACAGTTACAAAAATGTAATTTTCTAAAGATTATGTTACTTGCAGGTTGATCTTGAAGAAGCGAAGGGGCAAGAAATCACAAAGTTGCAGAATGCTTTGCAAGAAATGCAAGGAAGACTGGATGAAGCGCACAACCAAATCCTTCATGAGAAAGAAGAGGCAAAAATAGCAATTGAACAAGCCCCTCCAGTCATCAAAGAAGTACCAGTTGTAGACAACACCAAAGTGGACGAACTGGCTAGTCATAATCATAAACTGGAGGTATGGCCAAGAATTACTAATCCGGAACTTAATTTGAAAGCCATATTTCGACCTGGACGTTATGAAGTCTTATCAACTCATTCCAAAAATCTTAGTTATTTGCGCTGAGTACATAATTTCAAAATAAGAGTAGCTTATAGAATGCTTTTTGAGAAAAAATTAGTTCAAGAAGCAAGTAGTTTTAGACATGAATCACCTCCAACGTCACACAACTACTTTCAATTTATAACATAACTAACAAGAAGGTAATAGAACTGTTAACTAGAGCAGAGTCATATGACATGCAAGATTAGTGGCCTAACCCCATAATTAACACCATGCACATGAAGACAGAAGCCTAAATTTGCATTTCGTCTTATAACAGTGGTACACCACACTGGGAAGAAAGTTATTGTTTATATGTTTTCTCTCCTAATTCTTTTCTTTATATATCCCACACTTCTTGGACCAAATATTTCCTCTGTTCTTAGCTTCTTACCCAAACCTTTTTTTTCTGGTAACATACAAATCTGAAGCAAATGATACCAAGCAAAATAATGATGGTTGAACTTCTCTTTCCCAGTTGCATATCTAAAGAAGGAACTTGTCAACCACATAGTTATACTCTCACAATCATATCAAGTGCATCATTTTCATCCAATTTTAAACAAACTATGTAACATAAATCATTACTAATGATTGAGATGTATATGACCATTTATATTAGTTAATTTGTTAAAATTAGACGGAAATGATGAAGCATTGATGGTGTTATCATTACTTAGATCTCATTCGACAATTTTCTTTCACGTTTGGGTTTTACGTTATTGATTTATCTTTTTCCCTTTGCTTATTAATAGCCTATCTACTTTTATTTTACTTTTGTTGTTGTTGTGGGGTGTGAAGTTGGGACAACCATACCGAAACATAATAACTTATTAGCTATTCGGAAATTTCAATCTCAGAATTTCTATGATGTATATGACCAAGTCAAATATCAAACAGCATGGCTGGAGACCTTATCCTATCCATCTATGTACAGGATGAAATTCTAGAGCTGAAGAAGAGAGTTGAAGAATTTGAGCAGAGGTACTGTGACGTTGAAAATGAGAGCAAGGCTAGACTTAAGGAGTTAGAGGAATCACAAGTTAAAATTTCAGGCCTTCAGGATTCCATTGAGAGGTACCTAAGTATTAAGTTACATGGATGTAGAGCCTCCGCTTTTGTCCTCAACTCTTATTTTTGTATGCACATAATCAGGTTAGACGCAAACTTGTCCAATCTCGAATCAGAAAATCAGGTTTTGCGCCAGCAAGCATTGGTTTCTTCAACAAACGAGGAGCTCACTGAAGAAACTGAACAGTAAGAGTACACAAGATTCTTGCTAACATTTCTTTAACTTGTTTTTGCACTCTATTACTGATTTAAAACCTTAAGTTCTTTAAATATGGCCGCACATGAAAGATCAACTATGCACTAACCATTCTTCATTTTTCTAAGTTCATTGAGATTCAAATTGTATCTGTACATATGTGTTACTCCTGTCAATAGCATAATGGATTTTTCTCGGAGTATATTTTCACTCAACTGTGTTGCTAGATGGTGTTTCCTTAACTAAAGCACCTGAAGGTATGTCCTCTGAGGTGTATGACTTTTAAAAATGGATCTCCATATAAAATCAAGGCATAGTTGAACCGTGGCCCTAAGCAAATTCACCACTAACAATGTCTTAGGGGTTGTTTGGCAGTTGCTGAATGGTTTTGTGCAGAATTATTAAGTGGTCAGAATGATTAAGAGACTATCATGATATAGTGCAAAATAAAATATAATTGTTTACAATGAAATTAGGGTTCTTAATGGTTAAGGGAGGCACAGGATACAAAATCATTCAGAGGGTTTTAGAACCATTAAGAGACGGACTTTTTTTTACCAAACAAGATTCACCTCTTAATGATTCAGAGATTGCCTCTTAATGGAACTATTTAGAGGTAAACAAACAACCCCTTAGTTGATTCTAATATGTGAGCCATCCAGGGCCAATGTTTTCATAAGCTAATCAATGGATTTTCTGTATATCCTAATTCCTAAATGAAGAAAGGCATGGATCTAAATTGAATTTCAATATAGACGATTTATGCAACTAAGAACTCAAAGACTTGTGGACTTCATTAACGTTAGTAATGAATCAAAGAGTTTACTGTACACATTTCAAATTATGTATCTCTATCACAAACGAGGAACATCAAAAGTATTAAGAGGGTAATTAGTGGAAAGAAAAGATTTACCACTAAAATACTGGAGTAAAACTTTTGAGGGCCTTCTTTTGAAAGAGTATTGATATAGATTTCAGATTCCTTGCCCTGCCAGTAGCTTTTCACCAATTTTTCCCTTCATAAAAATTCTTTCATTCCTATCAACAAAATAGCAGGATGCCAGATATAATTTGATAAAGTTTAAAAAACTTATGGTGCCTGTTTGGACATTAAACAACTCAAAAGCAGACACTTAAATGCATCATTGTCTCAACCATCTATCTGACTAAAAACTGATAAGAATACATTTTCATTTGAGGTAAATTAGAATGAATACAGTTTCCGAGATGCTACAACAGCTTAGTAGAACCTCCAATCTCAGCTATGAGGTTCCACTAATGCATTTGTTTTAAAGAGTTGTCACTCAAACTAGAAGCTTAATATTTCACTTCCTTCAGCCTCAGAAGCAAGATCAAGGAATTAGAGTGGGAGAATGAACTCCTCCGTAACCAAAAAATGGTTGTGGAGCAGATAACCACCCCTGAAAAGGTATTGCTGCAACTACAGGTAAATGTTACCACATGGCCTTTCCTTATGGATAGACGCTTGATAATATCCTGATCTTATATGATATTGCAGAGTTTGGATAATGGACATGAAACGAAGGATAACTTTGAAACACCAAATATGGAGCAAGAAAAGACAAAGGTATATCCATCATCCATGCTCTTCGTCTAAAATTTCTGAAAACAGAATCCTTAAGGAAACTTATAAGCATTTAATGTAATATTACAATGATGAATAAATTATCTTCTGCAGGAATCGGACAACACTGTGTCCTTCCTAACAAAACAAAAATCACTAACGGACAGGCAGCAGGTATGAATTTAGAATGTAGAACCTTTTCACTGTTTTTAAACCACAAAATAGACCAACGAAATTTGTTCCTGTTCTCCAACCTATCTGCTCTTCCTCACAACCAGGAAAATCACGATGTTTTGATCAAGTGTCTTCTGGAAGATAAGCGATTTGACAAGACCAGACCTGTTGCTGCATGCATTGTGTACAAAACATTAGTTCAGTGGAGATCCTTTGAGGCAGAGAAAACACATATATTTGATAGGATTATTCACACAATTAGATCTTCCATAGAGGTAGTATTCAATTATTTAGAAATGATGTGTCTTCCTGGTTCTGGTCCTCCACATTGACCTGTTTGTGGGGGCATTTGTTTCGTCGATTGAAATTAATCAGGCATTGTATATCATTGAAGACTCAGGATAAAATCAAAGATTTAGCATATTGGCTATCAACAACTTCAACTCTTTTATTCCTACTACAAAGTACAATCAAGGCAAGTGGTTCACCCTATAAGTCTCCACATCGTAACCGCGCCTCACCCACCACATTGTTTGGCCGAATGACACAAGTAAGCTCTTCATAGCATGTTTCCTATGTCAAAAACATTCCTTTAAAATTCTATAATCCTAAGCACGGGTTAGCAGGGTTTCCATGCATCTCCTATGGCCATGGGTATCTCTAGTGGGTATAGTGGAATGGAAGGGAAGCCAAGTGCACAATGCAAAATAGAGGCAAAGTATCCTGCACTTCTGTTCAAGCAACATCTAACAGCCTGTGTGGAAAAATTGTATGGAATGATCCGTGATAGCTTGAAGAAAGAGATAAGTCCATTTCTGAATTCATGTATACAGGTAAAAAAAGCATAGCAAGCTAGATAATCTACATTAAAACTACTTAACAACCTTCTAATACACTAACAGGCACCGAGATCTACAAGGGTCAGACCAACAAGAGGGGCAACAAGAAATATTCTTTCAAATATTGTGGCAAAACAACAGGCATCAAGCATACATTGGCAAAGCATTGTTAATAGCTTGGATAACACCTTGCACATTCTGTCTGAAAATTATGTAAGCAGAGAAAATTTCATCCATTCTATTTGTTACTGAACTGTGGCACTGATGGTCTTATCTTTAGGTCCCTTCAATCATCACAAGGAAAATTTTCAGTCAGGTATTCTCATTCATAGATGTGCAGTTCTTCAATAGGTAATCTACCTATATTGAATACTTCAAAAAGATGTTTACTGATGCAACTTAGGTTTAAAATACTAAATAACTTGTGATTTTTGCAGCTTACTGCTTCGGCGTGAATGCTGCTCTTTTAGCAACGGAGAATATGTAAAGTCAGGTTTGCATGAACTTGAACATTGGTGCAAGAAAGCAACAGATCAGGTAATTATTGTTCCTGCAAACCATCTGTACATGAACCTAGAGAAGAATCTGTACTGAGTGTCAGGAGAAGAATTCATTGCATGCTATATGTTGTAATAATACAGTTTTCTGGATCATCATGGGATGAGTTACAACACATAAGGCAAGCTGTTGGGTTGCTGGTATGATGTTCTGTACCGTTACATTTGACATAGTAACCCCAGTAAACAATTAAAGATAATTCTAATACCAAGCTCATGCAGGTATCACACCAAAAGACTCAAAAATCCATGGAGGAGATCACAAATGAACTCTGCCCGGTAGTTTGCTCAAATACATTATTACTGTTTTTCCATTATTCTATATACATAGAGAAGTACAGATCAAAGCGGACTCAAGATTTACATCATAAAAAATAATCACCATAACGTAGAATATAAGATTATCAGAAAACTAATATTTGATTTCTTTCTCTTCTTCATATGGATGAAGGTACTGAGTGTTCCACAAATATATCGTATTGGAACTATGTTTTGGGATGACAAATATGGAACTCAAGGATTATCTCAAGAGGTAAGGAATCTAATAACTTCACTATTGATAAAATAATACTTATTTGGATGAGCCTCAAATCCTGTATGCATTCATTCTTGAATGGGTTGGTATCTAAAAAACTTACCTAGAAGTGTTTGTACTTGCCCAAGTTCCAACATAAGTAGTTTGTTGGTAAAATCGTACATGAAATAAGCTTCAATGATCTGATTTATTCTTGAGCATGATTTATTCTTGAGCATTACAAAGGGGATTGGGGAGTTTGGATTATCCTTATTTCAGGATTTTTTTTTTTAATTAGCTTCTTACTAAGTACCAAATTCATAATCATTCCTTAATAAAACCTTAACTTAAAGGCAAAAGACGAAACCAAAACATTTTCTGGAAGAAAATAAGAGGAAGCCTGCATTTAGGTCTGTTGTGGCCTTACCTAATGCCATGCATAATGAAAGAGACATAAATTTGATAACTGTACCTTTTACGGAATTTAGGTAATTGGCAAGATGAGATCACTAATGGCAGAAGATTCAATCAGCATGCCCAACAATTCTTTCTTGCTTGATGTGGATTCCAGGTAATTGACAAAACAAAAGTAAAACAGCAGCTCAAATTGAAAAGACTAATGCATTACTAATTGACGACTGTTCTAACATATCCAGCATACCATTCTCTTTGGAAGAAATATCCCAATCTTTCCATGATATCGACTTATCTGATATCGATCCACCACCCCTCCTCCGTCAGAGATCAGATTTTCATTTCCTGCTGCAGCAAATAGATTGAAACTGTTGGTTTATACAAAAAGTTAACAGAAGAATGCCGAACTCCGCTGTAATTGATTGATTGCAGATCCCATTTTGTTTCAACGGGAGCCGTAGTATGATAACATGAGTGCTAAGAAGGTGATTTTGGTTTTCATTCAAAATTTCAGGTGAGAAGTTGACATTTTTTAATTTATTACAGAGTGATATTGGAAGTGTGGTTTCTCAAAGTGATTGTTGTAAAGAAGACAGAACTGATATTTTTGAAGATAAGCGAGAGATGTGTAAAAGATAACTTGTATTTTCAAGATCTGTGAGCGTGTGTAGAAGATGTTTGTTAACAAGATGATATGTCATTGTATCTGTTTTCAATTGTCCAAGCAGATTTGTTGTTCGATTGATGAGGAAAAGGTTATTAACCAGAAAAGGGGTTGGTCATTACTTTGGCAATCGACTGAGATCACTTCTGGAATTGATATTTCGACCAGAGTTACACGAAATTCAATATGGAACAACACACAAGAACGAACTTGCTGATGATTGTTCAAAAATTCCATGTCTAAAACATAAGCATAAAAGTTATCTATGCTCATCAAAATTAACTGAAAAGATAATCATGGCTCAATTTAAGAGTGGTGGACAGTTATAAAACTGCATATTAAAATAGTCGACAATTACAAAACTCTTCATTAATAGTAGTGGATAGTTATAAAACTGTTTTAATCGTTCCAGACATGATTACAGAGAGAAGACCAACCAGAGGCAAGGATTCTGAGCCTCTGACCCTTAACAACTAGACTCAAGGTCATCCTTATCATCTAGAGGCAAGGCCGACTAGAGCCCCTCTGGTCTGGTCCTTAACAACTATAGACAAGGAACCAGAGCTTCTGATTTTAATTTTCTGGTCCATCTCTTGTTCATCGTGAAGTCTGGTCTTCACAAGCTCTAGTCCGAGAGGCAGGGGTGGATGCAAAGAAGCTTGGTTGGGACCTGGGCCCCCAACAAAAAAAATTTTACAAAGCCCAATTTTTTTTTAATTTGTAATTTTTAATTTATTTCAACTGGGCCCCCAACATGATTTTGTAAAAGACCCCTCACACTCACAGTCGCAGTTCACGACTTCACAGTTCTGGAAGAGACGAAGGAAGCAGGGAGGGAAGAAGACACGAACGAGAAGTTAAGAACGACGGAACGAGTGAACGACACCGAGACTAGGTCACGACTCACGAGACGACCCTGTTCTGCTGTTCATCACTGGCTCGCTGCGACCAAACCAGACGACCAGGCAGCGCGAGTGAGCAACTTAGGTTTTTGATTCGGCCTTCGGGTAAAAATTCTAATTTCCAAATTCCTGATTCCAGTCTTTAATTTTGATTGCTTATTGGTGATTTGGTAAATGCTTTAGATTAGGTTAATTTTGTAGGTTGTTGTTTG